TTTTTTTTTTTTTTTTTTTTAAAGGGGTCCTGACTTCATTCCTCTTCCCTACTTCGTGCAGAGATTGAGAAAATGTCTTCAGAAGGAACAGTAAGTGTAGTAGGGAGTAAGGTGATGCCCTTGGACTATGGGAGCATGGACTCGGAGAGTAGTCCATCTCCATCTAGTTCGGAGAAAACAGTGCAGGGGGTGAGAGGAGATGAGGTGCTGGAGGTTGGGGGTAATGAGGTGGTGGGGGTTTCGGGGAATGAGGTGGTGGGTGTTGGGGGGGATAGCATACCCATCGCTGTGGTATAAGTAGAGGGTAGGAGAGAGAGAGGTTATGATGTGGATGCTGACATAGTGGAAGAGGTGAAGCAATACAGATCTGAACTTAGGACCAGGGATAGCCTAGGTCACTTAGTGGAGAATTACGAGATCTCTTCCCGAGTGTTAGTTAGGCCAGCTGGGGTAGAGGAGAGGGCGTGCTCTGCTCCTCGGGATCATTGGATGCCCGTGTCCCACTATTTGATAGCGGGACTCAGGTTTTCACTTCCCGAGTTGCTAGTAGGTTTGCTATTAGATTATAATATAGGGTTGATACAATTAGTCCCCAACACTATGAGGGTAATAATAGGATTTTTAGTCTATTACCGAGCTCAGGGGATTAATGTGCCAACTGTAAATATGTTTAAGTATTTTTTTGTTTTAAAGGGGGGTAGTAGGAGGGATAAGGGGTGGTATTATTTCACCCCTAGGGTAGCTAGTAAGAAGAGTAGGTCTTTATTCACTGCGGGTCCTTCATCCATTAAAGGATGGAAGGAAAAATTCTTTTTTGTAGATGATACGGAGTGGGAGAGGGGGGATGCCGAGGTGAGGGAGTTAGCATTTTGGAAGGCTAAAAGAGCCAACCAGAATAGGTTTAGTTTAAACGAGGATGAGGAGGAAGAAGTGAGGAAGTTGGTGAGGAAGGGGGGGGATTTACTGAACATTTTGGACCTCACCAGTGCACAATGCATAGAAGCTGCTGAGCTCTATGGGCCAAGCGCTTTAAGTGAAGGTTGGTTTAATTCTGTATTGTAGTACTGAATGTAGAATATAGAACTGTGTGATTAATATTGTGTTTTCTTGCTTTGCAGCTAAAATGGATCAATTTTTGAACACTGCGGGAGGAGTGGCCATCCCCAAGAAGCCAAGGAAGAAGTCAAAGACTTCAACCAAGCAAGTGGATGAAGGGAGGGCTGGGAAGGAGGTAGTGCCCATCACCGCAGCTGAGGCGGAGGAGGAGGAGGTGCCACAGTTGAAGAGGAAGGGTTGGGAGGAGAAGAGGGCACTACAAAAGAAGAAGAAGGTGGTGGAGGAAAAGAGGGGGAGCGAGGTTCCCCAATTCGTACCTCAGCCTCCTCTTGTTGAGCTGGACCCTGAGCTCAGACAGTTAGAGGAGGGGGCTGAAGTACGAGCTCTTGGTAAGGGAAAGGGTCCTGTTCCCCCAATGGCGTTTCAGAGCAGCCTGTTTGAAGCGAAAAACATGACGGGGGCTAGGTGGTTCATCAACAGCACCTTCCCCGAAGTGGACAAACGCAACGCACGGGACGAGACTCTAAGATACTGTGGAGCTTCCGTGGTAAAACACGTTTTAAAGGTATGTTGAGTTATTGGTGTTGTTTGTTTAACCTCTTCCTTTTTCTCTTCTATTTCTCTTAACCTCTGCGTTGATTTGTAGAGCGCGAGCTGGGTGAATGGTCTAGCCCAGGAGTTCATGGATAGCGTGAAGGAGCGCTCGCTCTTGCAGAGGTAGTGTGACTAGTTGCAGAAGGAGAAGGAGGAATTGGAGAAGAAGAATAAAGAACTGCAAGAGTCGCTGAACGAGGTGGTTCCAACTGTGAAACAGTTGGAGCAGGAGAAGGCTTCCCTGAGCACCAAGCTCATCTTTGAGAAGAGCAAACGAAGGATCTCTGAAAGCGAGCGTGAGGCTCAGGCGCAAGAAATAAAGCTGATGAAGGAGGCTTTCTTGGAGCTGAAGGAGAATGTGCAGACCTTGGTGCACAATGGGATGAAGGAGCACATCAGTAACTTCATCAGCTCCAGCTCGTTTGACAACATTGTCAACTTGTACCGGCTGCCCATTGCCATCATTGCATTCACGGACTGCAAGAAGAAGGTGAAGGCAGAATATCCCGAAGTGGATATTACAAAGATCACCTTCGGCGAGCAAGAAGAAGGAGTGGAGGAAGACGGTGAGAGCATGTCAGCAGACTTCCGTCCTCAGATCAAACTGAGGTGGGAGCATGATGCCAACGGACGTGCTGTTTTCCCTCCCCAATTCGACTTTGAGTTCGTTGCAGTGGAGGAAGAAGGGGCAGAGGTAGAGAAAGACGAGGTGGAGGCAAGAGTGGAGGGAGCTGAAGTGGATGAGAGCCAACCAGTTCCAGAAGTGGAGATTCATCCAGTTCCTTCCGATGATGAGCAGCCTCCTCTGCCAGACGAGCAGCAGCCAACACAGCCACCTCCTCCAGCTGAGTAGGAGCCAGTGGAGCCACCTCTCCCAGCAGAGAAATAATTTTGTTTTTTTTTTTTTAATTTTTGTAAAAACATTTAAACAGTTTGTAATACCGTTGTTACTTTAAATGAAAATTCAATTTTGAAATCATGTATTTGTTTATGTTTGCTTTATATTTTTGTTATTTTTTATTAATAAAAGAACTGAGATTATTTGAGACGTGATTTGAAAGAAAGCTAACCACTTCAGAAATGAACCAAAGGGAAGTAAGTCACTTCAGACGAATTAAGAAGAAGTAAGTCACTTCATATAAATTAGGAACAAGTACATCACTGCGAACGAATTAAAAGGAAATAAAGTACTTCATATGTGAAGTGACATTTATTAATCTTTTAATTCGTTCGCTTTCTTTTATTAGAAATATCCTTAATTTCTTTTATTAGAAATATCCTTAATTTCTTTTATTAATCTTTTAATAGAATGAAGTACTTCATAATCTAAGATTTTTGGATATTAAACTTTTATTAGAAATATCCTTAATTTTGGGGCTTATATGGGAAAGATAGTGAGTTAGTCCTTTTTATTGTTTGATTTGGGTGTGGATTTTGCTGCAGGAATTATAAGTAAATTGTATTGTTTACGAATTACTGTTCACAATACTGTTCATGATTACTGTTCACGATTACTGTTCACGCACTATGCTTTGATCTCTTTCAATAGGAAGTCGTAATATTATTTTGGACATATTATGAATTTATTTGGCATGTGTATGTGTTTGTGGCTATGGAGTAAGTGGACTTAAACTTAAAGCTTGAGGTAATTAGTGGACCTAAGCTTAAAGTTTGAGGTATTCAGTGAACCCTTCGGGGTATTTGGTGGACCTTTGCGCAGTAGGGTTAGTACTGTGATTAGCTCCAGTATAGTGTTGCTAGCACACCTCAGTGGACTCCATAACATTGTGTGATTTTCGATTTTATGCATTGCGCTTGTGACATCATATTTGTGAGCATATGATTTTAGTATATGAATTCAATTTAAATGCCATTGACTATTACATGATATTTGTGCTTATGCTTTGAGACATTAAGTCATTATTTAAATAGTGAGAATTAAAATATTATGTGATTTGATTCCGTTATGTCTTATGCTCTTTGTGTGGATATGTCTAAGGGTCTTAGGACCCAAGTTTATAACTTAAACTTATTACTTACTGGGCTATGAACTCATAAAATTCCCCCCCCATTTCAGATTAGTAGATCGAGGTAGCAGCCTCTTGGTTTAGGAGCTTTTGGCACGGGACTCGCATGCTAGTTGTATGTGCCAGCTAGGGCCTTGTGTTTTCGATAGGGAGGCAGATCGATGTCTTACCAAAACCATGACTCAGCTTTTGTATTTTTTTTTAAAAGCTTTGAAGAAGAATTTGCCTTGTATAATTTTTGTGTAAATTACCTTTATGTATAAATCTTTAAATTAATTATAAATGAGCTTAACTCAGTTTATCTTATAACTTTGAATATTTTGGCATTTTCCAATATATATATGATATTTTTTTTATTAAATTGATTTTCTGAATGTAAACTTTCTTTTGAAGAAATATTTTATATCATAAGTGTTTTTACTTCTGCTGCAATTCTTTACTATAAATTTTGTTTCTGAACTCTTCTAGGACTAAGAGTGCCTAGGGAAGTGTGTTATATGTTGGAAGAAGGTAAGTGGGCCTTATTAACCAAGCCCATAGATTCATCATTCCGATCATTTATAAGGATGGGCTTATCCACCGCAGGCTCATTTGAAGAGCAGTTCAGAGAAGCTGATGGGCCTTTGTTCATTAAGTTGGACTGAATAGACATTTTAGAGTTCCACCTAGTTTTAGCATTCCAGCTAGTTGTTATCCCTTTTCTAACATATTGTAATCCTACACCACCACCACGTGTTTGATTTTTCAAATTGGTTTTGTGCTCAGAATTGCTACTCATGGGTAGGCTTTTAGCGACCGTTGAAGGAGAGCCTGTACCAATCTTATCAGCATTTAATGAACCACTATTGGATCCATTGGGTGAAAAGCCCATTGGACCCGATTGTTGTTTAGACTCACTATTAGATTGTTCAAACCCGACCCGCGAGTCTCATTCCTTGCTGGTGGTGACTTTTCTGATTGTACCTATGTTTGGTTTGTTTTTCTCTTAGGTTGACGTCGCTCAACCAACAACCACAGACCAAATTCATCCTACTCAATTAGCCTCTTGTCTAAATTAGCACATTCTTGTTGTAAATCACTTGTGCTTAGAGATTCAAGGCCAACAAAGCTTGGTTCAGACCTAGAATGTTGCCCCTCCTTAACAACGTGGTTATCAAATTGTGTCAAAAGCAAAGTAGTCAATACCGTACCGCCATGCGTACTGGTTTTGCTACTGGAACGGTACGTACCGGATACCGAAATTTTTCGCGTACCGTTTCGGATTTATCGCTATAAATATATATTTTTATAAA